GAGACAGCGTATATAAACAGCTTTCAGCAGCGTTGAACTACAACAATAGAAGGAACATTTCAAGCATGCCAATGCACGTATACTCTAAAACCTCTTAAGGGCATGAAAGTGCTTTAATTGCACCAGGGTCATAGACGTTATTGCTGAGCAGCGCGGATCAAACGGACAAGTTCCTGCACAGCCAAAAAACTTCTTTCTCACAGTGTCTTTCCAAACCCATCAGGGTAGACCTGCTCCCTTTTCCTACCAGTCCCTCTCTCCTAATCTACCTGACTTCAGTATGCTGAGTGCAGAAAGGGGCAGGTATTGTCCTCCATTCTTCTCACTTTCTCGTTCTGACAGTAACTAGACACGGCCATGTATTGTCCCATTGTTGCCTTAATTACTGGTCGACTTGGGTTCAGAGGAATCAACTTACATCGCCCTCTTTTCCTTGCCTATGGGAAGGTAGGCTTTTTCACATGGACCTAGAGGAGTGGTGATTATGCACCAAGCCTAGCTTTGGATTAATGTTACAGCACACACAATTGCTATTGAGAAAAAAAAACACATTTTGAGGTTAAGTGGACGGCCACAAAGATTTAATTTCTCTCTGTGGTTATGGATGCCAGCATTTCTTTAGGAGATCCCACAAAACCTCAGTTAAGAAATCTTTGTAACCTAGAGTGTCTCAAACTAAAGCGTTCATCCACCATTTGTTGGCCTATTTGTGGCTAATGAAGGTCATTTACTACACAAAGGAGCAACAACTGTTATCAAGAATCACTGTTAGGATGCTTTTGAGGAAATGTGCTCAAACATTGTCACCAATAGAGGGAGTAAGAGGATCAGTTACTCTTGTTTGTGCTTGGATGTGTGTGGTTATGGTAAAACGATGAAACTATTGCATTTGCCAATAACCTGAAGCCAAGTGTAGCATTACAGTGTCCCCATATTTGAAAAAAAGCCAGCATAAGTGCCCTCTTGGTTGCTCTTCTGGAGAACATCATGTACTGAAGTGCCAAAGGCTGCACACTAAAAAAGTGGTTTGAACTACTTTCCATAAAATGCATCAAGCTTGGTAGAACTTATAATGTACTTGAACAGGTTTATACACTACCTGTAAATTGTTACAATATTATGGTATTATTATTATATTGATTATATTATTCAGTCACAGGTGAAGATGGCCGCCGAGAGACTTATTGATTTGTGACCTCACCTTCTGAGAGCATGTATAGGATTATTAAATAATAAAGTTCTCAAAGACTCAATCAGAAGCTTCGGAGATTCACAGGGCACAATATTTGTAATTATTGGATGTCTTACAGCATTTTAAGGGAAACTTAACCAGTTTAAACTTTGTGTTTTTGACCCAAAGTGAGCCTTTGTTGTTGCACATGCACATCTACAGGAAGCTGTGTGGAAGCACGTGCACACATTTGTCAGAATCCCTTTACTTTTGCATAGAGTTGCAATGCCAGTTGTCTTTGGGTTATGGTTAAATAGCACACATTGTTCCTCCGAAACAAAACAAGGACTTAAACAGTTACAGAGTGAGCACTTGTTGAAATAAAACTCAGAAACACCTTTTATGAATTAAGAAATATCCATAGCAAACATCCAGAGTGTTCCAGCTTGTTACACGTCCTTCCATGTTTGTTTTTTTCATGGTGTTCCAGTTGTAAAGCTGACCTCCTGCTGCTACCCTTTAACATGTGCAGGTTGCATGCTTGACCTCATCCTGGAGGGAAACCAATGGGTTACACATGGCACTTTAAATCCTGTGTGTGTGTGTGTGTGTGTGTGTGTGTGTGTGTGTGTGTGTGTGTGTGTGTGTGTGTGTGTAAACAGTCTGGGATTAATTTTGCATATCTGATAAATATTTAACTTCATAGAAACAAAAAGAAGGGTAGAGGTTGCACCATCCAAACACTGCAGTCTATGAATAGGATTAGCTTGAACTGGGCCTGCTTCTCTGGCACTTGATCCCACTTGCATGCATACATCTTGAAGAGCATTGAACATAAACACAATAATAAGCACAACACCAGTTTAAAAAACATGCATACAGTGTTTATTTTGCAACCAGGACACGTTAAATAAAACTACAAAGATACTTCACTTATACAAAATATATATCCCATTCACATACAAAATAACAATAATTTACTGCATAAATTAAACATTTCACGTTTTTTTTGCTATGTACAATTTCATGAAAACAATGTTTTGGCCCCTCTAGATGATTTCCCACAGGGCTTCCGGTGAGGTTTTCATGTCATCGAACACTACACGACAATCACGTCAACGACAGTTTGGGAAAAGACAATTTCCACCGCTCAGAAGAAAGCGTGGAATTTTCCGATTGACTGGAGGATGGGAGTTTGCATAATTCACCAAGCTGTCCAAACAAATATGCCCTTGTTAGATTTTAACCGTCAGATTCCGTTAGCTCGTGTTTGATGAGAACGCACATTAATTTCCCATCGCTCTCACATCTACGGCTTTTTTTTGTCTCCCTCTCTGTACGCATGGTCTGCTCTGAACATCACAGACCCAGGGGCATGTGTTCTTGTCTTGCAATAATTAACATGAGTTACAGTTGAGCAGACAGGGAGAATATAGCCTCATATTTTTACAAAACTTGTGATTGACAAAAGAAAAGATTTTTTTTTAAAAGACTTCAAATGATTTCTGATTCTTGGAAAACATTACATTTTCTGACTTGAATGTCCCCGTGATGCTGCATTTTGTTTCTCCTTTTGTCTCAAGTGCTCAGGTACTTTTTCACTGAAACTGAATGAAAACTCAATAAGTACTATTTCATCTTGCAATTTGAAGCAAATTTAAGTGCGCTGCGGTTTACATACATAATTTCTATTTATCCTGTCAGAGAATGATTGGGGTGACTATCATACCTACGACGATGGCAAGCTTGTACATTTGACCTTTCACAAGGAGTTGAAATGTCACAGCAATGCACAGAAAATCGTGACAGCTAGGACAGCTAGTGCACGGGGGGATTTTGGTTATATTTCTGTCTGGGGATATTGTTTGCGTTAAAATAATTTGGCTTGATATCAAGCAAGTTCAAGAGCGTTGGTGGCCCAAGCCGTAGGGACTTGGCATGGGAACAGGATGGTCACCGATTCGAGTCCCAGAATGCCTAAGTAGTAGCAAGGTGCCCCTGAAAAAGGCACCGTCCCCTAACCATACATAATGGCTGCCCACTGCTCCTAATACTAGAATGTGTCAATACAGAATCCTGGGTGGCAGTAGGGACTTGGCTTGGAAACCGAAGGGTCTCAGGTTCAAGACTCGATCGAACCAAAAATACGGAGTGTTGAATGGTAGCTGTATTGAGTATGTAAGTCGCTTTGGATAAAAGCGTCTAAGTGTCAGTTGTGTCAAGCTGGAGAGGTGTCAGTTAGGCTTTGTGGTAATGCTGAGGTGTCCTTAACTGTATCCCCTAACTGCCCCCCCCAAGCCGGAACACTGGCAGCCCTTTCGCTCGGCCACCTCTTATAGTCTATACTAGGTTGATTGTACATGTGTGTATTCAGGCTTACGTATGTGTAATTTTAATGTGTGAATAATGTTGTGTTTTTGTTTTAATATTTAAATTTAACTTTTTACATTTTATTTTATTTCCTTTTAATACCACTGTAAAGTGTCTTTGAGCACCTGAAAAAGCGTTTAGGAATTAAATGTATTATTATTATTATTATTATTATTAATTGTGTTATTGTTGATACAAGTTGATCTTATTCTTAATATTAGTCTTGTAGAATTTAAGAAATGTACCACTGTGAAAAGGGGAGAAAAACATCAGTCTATACCTTTAGGCGGAGTTGACGAGAAAGTACTTTTTTTCAAATGCCTTGACGAGACACAAAATGAAAGGGCGGACATAAATATCATCACTGAATTACATAATATACAACAATATTCACCCCCCCTCCCGTAATTAAAAGACAACTTAATAAGAACAATATGTTCAGTAAATGTCCAAGACTACACATAAGAGCACACAAAGAAATTAGAAACAAATGTTTTTTTTTTCAAAGCCATGTCCGTTTCCACATGAAGAGTTCTATCCTAAAATGTTCATTATGATATATCCTCATGTCCATCATGTAGTAAAAATGTAAAATATCCGGAGAGGTTTTCAGTTGAGTGGAATATTTTTTAAAATACTTAATGCTTTCAATCACTGTACAAGATGTAGCATTTTTTCTTTACTTTACATTTAAGTGGTAGAAATCCTATTTTGGAATTAGACTCTTCACATCCACGCTGATTATAAAGACTCGAGTGAGGGACCCGAAACAGATGTGATGCATCTGAGACAAGGGAAGAGGAGATCCTTAAGGCACTTGAACACCATCAAACCGAAAAGACTCCCACCCACAACCGAGCAGAAAAAGCCCTCAGATCTTCCCAAGTCTCCCTAAATGGCAGTTTGACTGTAAACTGCACCACCCAACCCCCACTCAAGGGGAACAACGCTAGTTATCTCTATACGCAAATACACATGAGTGCTGAGTGGGCGAGCGCTCTGTGATCTTTTCATTTTGATGGCGAGTGATTCATCCCCAAAGTGCTGTGATATCTACCTTCAGAATGGTGTTTCTGTATCCCGTTTCCCTCTTCTCAGAAAGCTAGTTGTTACGTGAAGCACAACAAAAAGGACACATTAGCACTTTGCATATGGACTCAAAAAGACAAATAAATAGATAACTTTGAGGGATGGGAGGATTCTGGTTTTTGGCTGTTACAAAACTGTAAAGTGTGAATCAAAGTTTCTTCATCCTCTTCTTGCTGCTGATGAAGGCTGTGACTCTGAAGCACCGGGAAGAGGTTTACCTCCCCGTTTCCGAAACAGACAGTAAGCCGTTAATCTGCACCAGCTTGTGTTTTCTCTGGTGAGCCTGCAGTTTGGAAGGTTTTCAGGAGGTATGCTGACTGTAAGGGACATCCATGGGCGATGGAAATGGAGCCTCACTTTCTTCCTTGTATCTCTGTCAGAGCGTCCTCTTTGCCCCCCACACTCAGTGACAGCCCTGCCTGTCCCACTCCTCTTTTGTGCTGAGCAGAGTGGGAGGGCCACTTGGGCTCAAAGGCCATTTCTTAGCAGTCACTTGTCATTAGCCACTCAGTTGTTCGTGTTGGCGCAGCGCCTCCTATAGTTTCATTGTCTGAGGGCCTGGCTCCTGACGGCCATCGTACAGAGCAGTTGTGTTTGACGGTGGCGTTTGGTTAGTGGTGGTGCGCAGCTAGTTGCCCACCAGGGGGCTGAGGTCGCCGTGGTGGTTCTTTAACTTTTTCTTGAAGAGGGAGATGGTGGAGGGCCGGTACAGGATGATCCAGGGCTCAGAGGACGCGGTGCTCTGACTGCAGCTGTCTGAACCGCTCACCGTTGGGATGTTCTGAGACCTGAGAGGGGAAAGGGAGAGAGAGAAGAGGAGAGCACGAGAGAGGGGGAAACAGAGGAATTAGAAAAGATGATATTGGAAAGTCAGGGATTTGTAAATGGTGTCACACTGTCACTGTGTCATTCCATGCCTGGCTTCCAATAAACTTTGACTAATGGCATTAACAGCAGTGGATGCTTTAACAGGCTTCATTATCTTCCACTTATTATGTTTAATCGAACTGAATCCAACTATTAATGTTCAAAATCTAAACTCTTAGTTTTCTATACCTAAAAGCAGCAATGTTACTACGTTGGTAAAATAGACATCACTGAAACTATGGAATGATATTAAACATTGTGTCATTCAGTTAAAAAACGAAAAAGGAAGATATCGCTGTGTAGTAAAAACTCTGCTTTAAACATATTTCCAAATTCTTGGTGTTTACTAAATTAATATTTAGGGGGAAGAAAAACTGGGTAACAGAAATTCATTTAGTTTCAAGAGACCCATTAGTACATTTTAATTCTTTTTTTATTATTGGTTTTTCAGTTGAGTTATACTTAAAGTTCAGGGTAATCAACTGTTCAAAACATACTGTTAAAAAACAAAATTCTCCAATAAATTAATGTTTTCAAAGTAAATGGATAATCGTTTTGAATAATCGTGATATAAATTATTGACCCAAATAATCGAGATTATGATTTTTGCCATAATGGAGCAGCCCTAGATCATCATCTGGGGAATAATAGCTTATGCTTTGCTTTTCACATCCTAAAGGGATAGCATAGATATGCTAATTTTCAGGTTCATATTTGTATTTTGTGCCTCTACTGTGACATGTCTCCATGCTTTAATGTTCAAAAAGCTCTTTATTCTTCTCACACTGCCTGTGCTGCAGCACCTCTTTTCACCCTCTGTCTGAAACCAGAACCCTCTGATTGCTCAACTGCTTAGAGTTACGTAGGGATGTCACTATGTTACGGAAGGAAACAAAGGAGTCCAATCGAGGTGATGAAAGAAAAAGATTAAACAAACACAAAAAAATACTTAAGATGGTCAATAGAGTAGTTTGGATTCCATTTCCTTTGTGGCTACTTTATTCCCCCTGTTTAGCTGTAACTTAAGTTATGAATCACTGACAGGAAGAAACAAACGTCATGTAACATTTCTTTCATGTGTGATCATAGGAAGTCGCTCTGGGTTGAACCTTGGCTAAACATGAAGAACGCAATCATTTTAACTGAATCACATTCAAATGTAACCACTGTGGGAATGTCTTCCTCGTCTTTCACATGTTCCAATATGACGTGAATGAAGAATAATCCTGCAGATGCTACTTTCACATTTGATGCGTGGATGATTGTGAACACCTCGAAACATCCTAATACTTACTTGACCGTCATATGGAGCAGCAGCTTCGCCACCATGGCGATGACTGTCAGAATGAGGAGAGCTGCCAGAGCGTAAATGGTCCACACTGCGGAGAGGGAGCAACACCGTTAAAATCAATCAGATCAATCAGATGCATCACCACGGTAATGAAAAGGAAGTAAAGCAGACTGAAAAGCCAAAGATTATTCAAACAGCGCTGCAGGCACACCTGTGAGCAGCGTTCAGCCAGAAATGTGTCAAGAAATAGTGATGCACTTTGCATTTGTTGAGAAGAACATCAGATCGCCCCTGGGAGACAGAGCGCTCAGAGTTTGGAAAGAGTGATATTTGAGGAAAAGAGAAAAGCCCTGAACACATCAGTCCACCCTGCGCAGCTTTGACAAGACGCCTGTTTGTGATCAGCAGGGAGACCCAAAGTAACTTCAGTTGTGAGTCATTGACAGGAAAAACAAGCGTCAAGTAGAATTACATCTATGTGTGATCACAGGAAGTCAGTGTGGGCAGAAGCTCCCAGAAGCCTCTCATCAAACTAAGAGGATTTCTTAAATACTTTCCGAGAAAACCAGGTCATGCAAATTGGAAGCTCGAGCTCCAAGAGACCTGCCGCAACATCCCTGCAGAGGTAGAGAGAGGTGCAGTGTATGGTGGTTGTTAACATACTAGCGCTGTGGCTGGTGGTCTCGCCGCGTCCAGCCCACTGACCTGGCATGTTGTGCTCCGGTTTCCCGGGGCTGGACGTGATCACGTAGAGGATCTGGGAGGAGCGTCCGTTGGAGGTGCTGTTGGACCTCTCTGTGACGCCGCCAGCTAGCTGCGGCCCCGCCGTGCTCGAGACGTCCTCCGCTTCATCATCCTCACCTCCTTCGCCCTCCATTGCTCTGGTGTCTTGGCTTCTCAGTGCTGGGGAGATAAAAAGTGAGGTCATTTGGACAGGTTCTCATAGTAGATGTTGTTAACTTCAAGCAGACGCAGTGCAACATTATCATTTATTTGGAGCGGTGTTCCATTCAATGTACGTTCAGTATTCTCGCTGTAGATCTGCTTTTGGTTTCCACCTTCTCCTGTGCAAGAGATCTGTGGCTGTACTCACAAAGCTTACACATGCAAAGAGTTGGTTTTAGTGATGAAATTCTACTAAAGTTCTTAGTAGAATTCTTATTATGGCGTTTTTTTTTAAGTTTCCCCCTATATTTAGAACTGGATCTTAGTAAAATGACACAATTATCTCAGTGCTTCAGTGAGCTTCTAAGGTAATAACTGATAGAGTTTTTAAAGCAGAGGACAAAATGATATATTCAAACACGGAATGACATTGTTGACACAGTTCATGAAAAGCTACAGATTAGTCGACCTGTGGCAAAAATCAATGTGCCGTGACATTTTGCTCATCTCATCAGAGTTGTGCACAAATGTCCCTCCAATCCAAAGCAAAAATAACACAAAAAAAAAGTGATCACAACACTTAAGATATTTGGCAATTGGATAAATACAACATTGAAATTCACACGGTTACAGTGAAATATAGTTGGTGGTTACTAAAGCACATTTATATGGAAGCAAAAAACACATTTATTTTAGGATGCACGGGATGCAGTTGTGGCATATAAATAAATGATAAAGCTCCTTTTATATTTAATTAAATGTATGTATTTAAATGTCATTTTAAAGACACGTTTCAGTTGTATATTTAAATGCTTTTAAAGTGTTTTATTTGTTGTAAAGCACTTTGAGATAAGGGCAATACTGCAAAACTACACAACTGTATGTGCATGTTTGCGCTGTAATATCCTTACCACCATATCTTTTGTGAATTCTCCCCAAAGTCTTTATTTCGCTCATAGTCATTTGCATAACCATGAATAGATAAGCATATAACATAAGGAATGGGTTGGAAATAAGTTCTGAGATATGGAAGAGGCTAAGATCCACCTCCATTACTGAAACAACTTTATCGTTAATCTTTGTCATCTTCATTAAGTTATTCTTTCTATCTTTTTATTAATCCTGTATTCCTACTTAATTCCAGCCATATTAGAGTACTGTTAAGGATCTGATATACCTCCTCTTCTTCTTCTATTATATCCAGGCTTTCCCAGCTCCAGTTAGGCGAGCAATGTATGCTGTGCCGGAGACCCAGATGTGGAAAAGCTCTGCCATGTCATTTCTACAAGTTGAGGACACGTATCACTTAACGCCCCTTTAATTACTCCTGAGGGTAAAGTGTGCTGTTTAGCAGGCACGCAGTAATAGGACACATCACGCTGATCGTGTCGTTGAAAGCTAACACGGCAGTCACGAGTGAATATTTCATGCGTTTGTAAAGAAACAGATCGACTTTGCAAAAACACTCATGTGTGCTGTAAACATGCGGTGTGGTGAGAGCTTCTATGCCCCCCCCCCATACATTATTCAAAGAACTGTTTGCAATAAATTATGTTTGTTTTAAGCTGCTTACAGCGCCAGATGTGGCACAGTTTGTTCATAAAGCAGCAGTGCCAGAGAGCCTGAACTATTTCGACTCATTTATGAGTTCCCGGAGGAAAGCAATATATAAATAAAATCAACTCTGCCTTTCATTTACTTCTCCTAAATACAGACGTGATTTATTTAAAATCACTGTGTTACTTGAGAATGTTCTTGCTTCTGAGAAACAAACTGTGGCATGTTGCACTTCACTCTTTCATTATCTTTTCCTAAATGTTCATTTGCAGTACGCTTTGTTTGAGAAAAACATCTCAGAAATGTATCAGTTAGAAATAAATTAAGCTTTTAAAATGTGCCTCAATCTTAGGTTTGTGTCTCTTTGAATTGAGTGGGAACAAAATCACAATTGATGAGTACAAATACAAATAATTGTAATTCTCAGCTTTGATTCACATTCACAAAACACCCTAAGGCTAATCACTGCTTCTATTTAGCGGAGTTATGAGAGATAAAAGCTAAACAAATGTTTACTGGTTCTCCCTTTGACGTACTCCAGCTGCTCTGCCTCAACTCATTGTGATTTAATGAGTGTTCTTAACACATTACTGTTCAACCTGACAGTGATGTTCCCAGAACTTCCCACATGTTTCCCATTTGCAAAAGAAATACCATTCTTCAACTGAGAGCGTTTATTTTCAAATGACTGCTTCGACTGCTAAACTTGCCATAAAATAGATATGAGCTATATTAAGTGTGTATACTTTAACTTTGTCAAACTGTTGTCTTCCTGTTTATGTTATTTGTTTCTGCACCCAGGTCACTACAGTCTGTGTTCTTATCTCTATCTCGCTGAGAAAAATCAACCCTATTACAGGAGGTGACCTTTTTCTCATATCATGTCACAGATTCCATTTATTGCTACACTATGCCTCACGTAAAACAAGAACCAAGACGAGAGCAGACGGGATCGTGCTGTCCAGAGGTCAGCGGATTTTGACCTTCCAATATTGTTTTTACTGTAATGCTAGCTGCAAGAAAAATGACAGAGGATTATAAATGAAGGCAGAGGGGAAAGAGCAGGGACAGATTGCCTCCAAGAGTAGCGAGCTGTGAGCTTGAATGTCACCTACACTGAATGATATCACGGTGTGCTCCTCTCATGCCTCCAGAAATGAGTCTATTAAATCATTGTTGGTGCAGTCAGGCTCATTATGAGATGACATATAGCAATACAACAGAGAACAGCTTTACTTTTTTTACCATTCACTTTTCTACATTCTAAAGAGTAGTTGGGGGAGATGAAAACCATTATTTTCTGTGAGGTCTTGAACTTTCTGAGAGCTTTTAGTCCCCCAGCTGCATGTCTGCTCTACAGTGGAATCACGTTATCGTAAGGCCCGATGAATCAAGTATTTTGTATGTAGGTGGCATAAGAACTCGCGGTGCAATTCACCAAGGAGCGCTCTGGAGCAGCAAAGCAGCCTGCCGCTGCTTGATAAGAGAGTGAGTTCCTAGAAAAACAAAACATTATTTAAATATGCAGGATCACCCCGGGGCTGTGAGACATTGACTAGCAAATGGAAAGAGAAGAGGGCCTGCCAGTGGCGTGACAACTGCCTCACCACAGCTAAAAGGCGGTAGTCCTTGAAACCAGGGCTGCCTTGCAAAACGCCATCATGGAGGAGGCTTGTCCGCACGCACCTGATTATGCAAATGAGCACTGTAGTTCAGGATGTTGGCTATAACTCTAATCATACATTAGAAAAGATATTGGAGACATTTTACAACATTTGTCCTTCGATGCAATCATTCTCATTGAATATACAAAAAGTCAAAGTCCTACCTTGGTAAAGCAGAGCAAATCCCTGGGCCTGGTTGGTGCGGTCAGAGTAGAAGTACAGAATGACATAGTCTCCTGTGACGTTCACTAGCTCCCTCGGAGGGCTGCGCCAGTCGAAGCGCGCCAACACCTGGTTGTTGTTGCCGTCAAGGAGCTCCACCATGTCCGTCTGGTCGGAGATTTCAAAGAAAGTGAAGTTGAAGAGGATGGCGTAGGCTCCAGGGACGTGGATGGTCCAGTAGCAAACTCGGCCAGCCCCGTACTTGTCTGGGAAATCAGGGGAGTAGATCACTCCGGATGGAGAGGAGTAGTTTCCACCACAGGCCCCCACACGAGCTGGAAGAAAGAGAAAAACTAGATAAAATACGACCGTGTCAACATTTAGAAGCTTTTGAGATTGGTCAACAAACTGGATACCGGGTTTCCGTTGGTCACATGAGAGCCTCGGTAACAGAATGAATCCGTTACGATTGGCATCGTCCCTAAACATTACTTGAATGACTCATGATGTGACTGATCCACATTAAATACAGTTTATTTGACAATGCTATTTTAAAGCAATGAGTCACCTCATTTTGCCTTACATCAAAATCGCAATGAGTTCCATTAAGTGAGGTGTGAAGATTTTCAATTTGGGAAAGAGAGAGGTATTGGATCAGTATTTGGTACAGGCAGGCAACAGTTGTTGCCTCTGAAACTATGCACAATTTGAGGTCTGTATTTCTGAATTTGTTTAAGTTGGTTGCCAATTACATGAGTTAAGGAACAAGAGTTGGTATTAGGAGTGAAAAGGTACGATAGCTTGTAATGACGTTCCTAAAACATTCAAAATGTTACTCAAATTAAAAAGATTTGTAGTAGTAGTAGTAGAACCTTTATTTATCCAGGAAAATCAATTAAGAACAAATTCTTATTTACAATGATGACCTGACAGGAGGCAAAAGGCTTCCTGAGGGGATGGGGTTTCGGAGGGAAAAAAAATAAAAAGACAGACTCCGGGCACTCCAGAACCCAGGAGACAACACAAACACATAGAGCAAAGATGACAGGCATAGCAGTTAAACATATAAAAACTCTAAAACAATATTGCTGTGGTTCAATCAATCATTAAAATCAGCATCAGGCAAAGCAGCTTCATGTGTGTACCAGGGTGTCTATAATAGTGACGGTGAAGGTGCGGGGGGAGACAAAGGTTTTCATTTTCAACATTTGACTTTTCATTCAACGGGTACTAAACATGTCCAATATTTTACAATACATTGTGTCAATGTAGAGTCTTGTGGAAGACTATAGATCACAACTGTGTGTGAGGAAAGGAGGGCTGTTGGTGACAAGGACATTTATTTCTGGGCCTTCTGGAGGCAAACTGAATCCTTAATTAAAGAAAGCATTTGAAGGAAGAAGGTGGAAGGTTAAGATGACAAACCTAAGGACAAGTTCCCTCCCAGCAGGGGTTATTACCACAGATACAAATGTATTTTGTAACTTATATTACCCTAGAAATCTTAAAATCAAAGTTGTTATGTCCCCCCCCAGACTTACTGTCAAAGATGATGACCCAGCCGTCCCCCCCGCAGGGCTGTGTGTGTTCTCCGAAGCAAACATGGTTACACTCCATGCTAGGCGACTCGCCGTGGTCACGCTGTTCCACTTCGTTGCCACAGAAACAAGCATATCCTGACTCCATGCCGGCGAGCTGCAAAACACAAAAGGAGTTATGCAAATCATTGCCTCAGAAATTCAAAACAAACGTTGGGCAACACTTTCCATAAAGCTATTCATTATACATCCATTTGGAATGGGGGCCGGCGAGGAAAACGCAAGGAAAACATTTACTGCTGAGGGAACAAACTTTTAGCTGGGAACATGACGATTTTGAATATTCTTTTTAAAAATGTGTATTAAATAACATTGTTAAATTAAATTATTTGCATAGTTTTATTTGTGTTAACACTCACTTCACTGCATGGAGCTCCTTCTCTTTTGAAATGAAAGTCCCTAATTTCTCTTTCTATCCTGATTACAAGGTGCTCTAATCTGAGTCTGGATAATAACAACCTCTCAGCCAATGAGAAGCCTCCCTTCAAACACACAGGGTGTAGAATGGAAACAGAACATAAAACATGAATAGTGACTACCTATCTTTCAAATGAAACTGTTAGTAAACTGTTCCTGAAGCAGGAATGCGAAACGTCAAAAAACCTTCACACAATCTTGACCTCGACACTACTGGCTTCTTGTTCTCAAAAGAGCTATTGTCCCTCATTAAAAAGGACACCATTGTCCAATTTTAGAATCCACACAATTGAAGGTACTGCATCATTTCCCACTCTACGTATTATGCCATGGGATAGGAATGTATGGAGCCCGTGCTCGCACCAAGATGTATCAAGCTACGTCCTTGTTGCATTATTCTATCTGATGGAGTAACACCAACGTGAATACTTCTGGCAGGAGCAAACAAGCGATGGATAACTCATCAGGCATGCTCTTTGTCCAAAGAGTCAAACAGGATTCCGAGCATTGACGTTTGGCATGCGCATTAAGAACGGTGACCGTCCAAGGGTAGGCAGACGATGCCAATCTGCCACCACTTCCTGTAACATCTGCTGAATTGAGAGAGATGGGGGGGGGGGCTGTCAGTATCTGTCAAATGCAGACGGAGCCTGAACCGGATCGCCTGGGACCAGAAAATGAAACACCTGGCACTGCTTATAGTTGGGACAATGGCATGCCAGATACAGAGATGAGAGACAAAAACGCATTGAGGAGGAGGCCCCACCGGGCTAATAACCATTCATTTCCAGCTGTCAGCCTTGATTGCGGGGTGATGATTTGTCATCTGCTGGTTGGTTCGAACAGGAAGTTTGATGGCTGAATAAAGAGGGCTAGACCTGCACTGGGGACCATTGTGATAGTTGTCAGGAAATTGCCCGTAAAATGGCCCGACGATTTACATAAAAGCCTTGACTTATGGCTAGAGCCAGCTCGGGTCCATTGTAGACGGGGCCAATTGACCTGGACACTTTTCTTCATTCATGAAAAAATGAGGGGGACACATTTTGAATTTCAGTAGACGTTTGAATCTCTTCTTCTACAGAAGCTGACTTCAGATATAAACTTGGATGAGTTTGTTACTTAAGGTCCCCCTATTATATAGCTGTTTTTCATATAAAATATATTATAGGTCTCAGATATATATACAAAACATGTCTCTAAAGTGTTTGGCCTCGAGATACCAAACAGATCACCCATTGTAGAATCCCTGTTTCAAAGTGCTGATTCTCTGTCTGTTACTTTAGATGAAAATAAGGAGCCACTCCCCACGCCCCTCTGAGAGATAATAGCCACGTTCACACCGGAGTACTTTTCCCACTTTAGTTCCGATATAGTTCCGAAATGTCGCGTTCACACCAAAAAGAGCCGGAACTAAAATTAGTTCATGAGAACCTTTTTACCCCCTTTTCCGTCCCTGCTAGAGAGCAGGGACCTCATGCGGCTCTCTTGTGAGAAAAGAGCTATATTTCTGATTGGCTGGGCGGATTGCAAACCAAGCCCCGTAAAACTCAAAAAAAAGTGTTGTGAAGCCACCATTTTATTAGCATTATTAGCATTGCATTAGCCTCAGCGCAAAAACGCAGAGAGACCAACTTATGGCAACACAAAATAAAACATGGGAGCGGTGGAGATGAGGAGGTGGGTGTCGGGCGTTCTGGCGATTTACTCTCGGAAGGCTGGGAGTCCCAGCAGCTTCTACTGACGGCCAGTCCCCAACTCCGGGGACTTCCGGCCGGGGATTTTGGGCGGGCAGTATACGCTGTGAAGTTGTTTGCGGCCTGCCAGTAAACCCAAAGCAGAGAAGAAGAAGTGACGTCAGCGGCGCTTAATTAGCCTAATCCACCCCCAGGAACTTATTCCCGGTGTTGAACGCGATCTGTATGTTGTTCATCAGAAACTAAAGTGTTCTGATGAACTAAGTTCTCATGAACCCTTTGTGGGAAAAGTAACTGCGGTTATGAATGCGCGACTATTTGGTAAAAAGAACACAAATGGTGCTTTCGGAGGGGATTCAGGTGATAAGGTGCGGGGGGAGGGGTTCATAAGGTGGGCGGGGGTTACCTTGGTTGGTGATTGGCTAATGGTTACACAAGCCAAAACATTTTTATGACATCATAAAGTGGCCAACATCTGATCAGCTCATTTTCAGACAGGTTTTTATATAAATGGATCAGGACAAAAAGAGAGAGGATCGTTTTTCTGAAACTTTCAGAGTCTCTTTACACAGAGGGGACACATGTTTATGTATAAAGTACATGAAAAAGTGGATTTTGCATAATAGGTGACCTTTAAGCATTCCTCACCTTGTATCTCTGCTTCCTACAGAAGCTAATGCAGTTCTGGATGGTGAGTTTGTTGGAGGTCTCGCTGGTGCCGGACAAAGTGGGCGGGTCGCCGCTGTCTCTGAAGCAGCCCAAGTTCCCAGGCACTGTAGGGAGAAAAGTGGAGAGTGAAAAAACAATCAGTCACACACATCAACTGAGATGCTATCTGTCTAATACGCTAATTATTAGCATTTCCTGTGCGAATATCAGGGTGTTCTCTGGTCTGTATTTTAAGAAACAAAACATACCCTGCATGCCTTGAACAGTCATGTGCCTCATCCAGTTATATCATCATGTTTGTGATGATAGAACTTGAACAATTTAGGCAAACAAAAGAACAATCCTCAGTGACACACTCAAAAAGAATCTTAAACCTCTGTGTGAATGTTTTGTTGTGATTTGCCAAGACATAAATTTGGCTTCTGAATAAAAGAGAAGAGGAGGAGGAGTTGGGAGAGAGGGGAGGAGGGGCGAAAGGGACAGGGATGTTTTGAATCCTAGCAAAAGGGAGCTGGAATCTAGAAAATGTACAGTGTCAGAAGGGAGCACAAGTTGCATCAGATTCGGGATTTAACATTTTCTGCATGTGTGACTGCGTGTGCGGGAACAAATCATATTTCCCCAATTCTATGTGCCAAGAAACGTTTTTTTTATTATTTTTTTATGAAGCGCCTTTCCAGAAGGTATTTGACTAATGACAAAGTCTGGAAGAAGGCCAAGTCCAACACCTTAGATCTACATTAAAAGCAGGTTTCATTTGAACCCCTTCAGAGCACAAAGGGACTACAGATGAAAAACAACCTCTTGGCTAACTCTGGCATATTTACAGAAATGTTGATTAATGTTCACTGCCCCTGTTAAATAAATGAATAAATAAACAAAAGGGATATTAGCGCATGAGCTCAAATTAATGCTACAAAGTTTTCAGTTTCAGACTTCTACTCGGGTCGAACTTTGGTCTAATTTTCATCAAACAATGCAAGCAGCATCAACTTCCACTTCTGAGTTTTACTTTTTTATACCCTCTTGGTTTTCACCCTTGTTGCAGCCCATCACATCAAAAATGACTGAACTCTAAAATGTTTGTGAGGCGAGACCTGGGGATGTTTGACACAAATAGGCCAACAATCACAGATTGATCACAGACCACACAGATGGAAGGTGGATGTTGATACCTTTCCTGATCATATTATCCGCCTGCCTCCTTTCATCCACTTTGTATTCGTCAAATAGTAAGCAATCTTAAAAGAAATCCAGCAGTGATTAAACATGCAAGGCATTAAACTCAACGTTATAATTAGGAAGTGCCAAAAAAGCCTTGAGGGATTTGTTTTTCATTGCGATACAAACCGACTTACTCTTGTTTAATTTCCACGTTTCTGAGTTTAAACAAATTTGACAAACGGAAGTAACACCACAATCAAAAGCAATTTCCGTTGCAAGTATGAAGAATCTCCCCCCGAAGATTTTCAGTCTAATTGGAATTGCTGCCATCTGACCGTAGGGGACAAAAAAGCTCAATAGGAAAAGACAAGAGCAAAGATTGTGACCAAAGTAGCTGTCAATATTGGTCTGAGACATAACAAATGAAAAGCATGTGACATAGCAAAACACCCGTATGCAGTTTAACTCAAACCTGCTTTCATACAGAGCTCAAAGTGTGATTTTTCCTAAATTCTTGCAGCATGTAAACACACAATTAGTAACATTTTCCAACGACCAATCCATATGACACAAATACTTAATTTTGTTCGAACTCTCAAAAACTGGAACGATCATATTTGTGTTGAGTAACACATTTAAATATGAATGCAAACTCCATTTAGAAGAGAACTCATTGATGCTGTCTCCCCACGAAGACAGCATGTGATCATAAGTTAGATATTACACAGGAGCATGTCCTGTCTGTCTGTGAGCAAGTCTCGCTTTGTGGATCCTGCAAAGTCTGACAACAAGCTCAGAGACCGTGGAGCGTTGTGTCCCCTGATTCTGTCTCGCCTCTGAACATCTCTGGAGCTTTTTCGTTGTTTTGTGTCTTTTCCTGTCATACATTTGCATATTGAAAGCTGCTCGTCTGATATCAGCAGGTTCCCTCCAGTGACGCAGTAAAAAAACTGAAAAACAAGATTATTTTACAAGCGTGTCATGATTTCATTTCGAGATCTAATGGTAGGGATCAGCATGCAATCTGAATAATTCTAATATAATTGTTGATCAAGGGCTGGGCTATAATTTAATAAAAACATATATCGTCTTTCAATGGAATGATCTCTTCTTAAAGGGAATACTCCTTAATGTATCATTTGTTTTTACACAACATTCAGTGTTTAGCTGTAAATATGCATTGCAACAATTTTACTTTAAACTGTTTCGATCATTTTGCAACAAAAAAAATTATTGGAGGAGAGAATACTGACAATCTTTTATTGGAACATTGTTTAATTCACCCCAAAAAAATGTGTTCAAAATGTAGTTATCTCAAATTGAAGATGTATTTAATGAATAACCAGAAAACATGCTATATCATGATATCAAGATAGGAAATTGTCTATATTTTTTGTCATATCACCCAGCCCGATATAGAGGGGAACCACTCAAAACTGCCATCATGAGCTGAAGCCACCCTGATAAAGACCTCACACGGGCATTGTTTTGGAGTCAATGTCAACTGTCTGGCTGGCACGAAAACCTCACTCACAAAGGATGCTGAAAACTCTTTCTGTTTATGTAAGAATGAGGCACAAAGGCTTTAGGGGGAAAGGGTGACATTGTGTCCACAAGAATGTCCACCAGCGACTGGAAAAGTGACAAAGGGGACTGAAGTGAAACGACCAGAGACGGCCGCGCAGAACTGTGTTTGACAGCTCGATATTTCAAGACAAGGTCCTCAGACTCCCTCAGACCAGCAATTAACCATGTACAATGTTCCCAACCGTGCCAAAGCGTTATACATGGATGTATATGGTTGTTTGAATCATTTAGCGATACTCCATGGCGCACACTTGCAGGATTATATGACATGTTGAAGGTAAACATGACAGCAATAAGAATCTTCGAGGTACTTCAAGGACAGTGCTGTGACAGCAGTTTCTTCTCATCCGTGACTTAAGTATAGACTGGATTAACCCCAATGAAGTGTGCAGGGATGGATGTTTGGGG